AAGGAAGGAAGGAAGGAAGGAAGGAAGGAAGGAAGGAAGGAAGGAAGGAAGGGGATATTGACTGACTGCAGTGGATCATAGAGAGAATTGCAGGGAATGAGAAGACATGATGGGAAAGAACCTCATTTCTTTGCCTTCAGCTGAAAGGGTCTTTGGTGATTCTCCCTGGCATCACCTGGAGTCATGCTGCGAAGAGCCAAGCCACCAACTGCCCTGCAACCTTTTGTGAAATTGCTGGCTGAGCCTGTCAGGGGTCAATGCCAGCTTCCTTGGGACAATGAAAAAGAAACCTCTCAAACTGCAGCTTTAAAAAGTGCATGATGTGCATGGAGTAGAAGAAGCCATTTCCTTAAAGCACACAAGGAGGGGGAGGGGAAGTGACATTGGCTGTTACCTGGAACCGGAAATCCTACCTTACTAAAAATAAGAGAGTGGAAAGGATAAAATCAATCCATAGATTTAAGGACATAGTGCTAGTTACCTGACAAAAATGGTAGTGGGAGGCATGAAGAAATCATACGGTTCAAGTTCAGCATTAGATGTAGATATAATTCCATTAATTAGGATGTCTCCTGATTTGTAGAAATTAAACATATACTTTTCTCCTTTTAACACATTTAGTGAACATTTGGACATCAACATCCCACAGGGAAAATGAGACACAAGAAGAAGCAGCAGCAAAAGCATTTCCCATATCATGATGGAGATCTTCTCTAGTTCTCTGAGACAGGCACCACCTTCTTTGGTCTCAGAGCTGTCTGAGGAGAAGCACAATCCTCTCGCCCAAGAGCACAGCCACACTGACTCTATCAAGGGAGATGAAATGTAGCCTGGCACATTAAATGTACGACTGATGCAGTCCTGTCAACAGTAATCCCATCATAAGCTCTCCACAGAACTAGAGGTACTTTGGAGGGTTTTTTATATGAAAAGTTACCAAATATTTACCAAGTTCAGCTGATGAGAAATTTCTAAGGATTTGTTACCTTGGTTTCAGAGATGACCAGGAGTAGAGGTGGGTGGGCATCCCATAGGTTTGGTGGAAATGGAATAAATCACCATGATTTTGATAATTATAAAGGGAGATGGAATCACAATGGACTCTTGATATGATTTGTTCTGCGGTGGTGCAGCTGGACAAATAAGTTTGAGAGGCCATGGGAATAATTCCAGTTGAAGAGTTTAACTGTTCCCTCAAAGGACCAATTCAGGGCAGTTTGATTGCCTTTTACTCACCAAATCTATTTTGGAGATGCTGGAGTTTGTAATGCATTAGGACAACTGCAGCTTTTCACTAGCCAGTGAGAACTTCAGCCTT